CTACAATCACTACTCTGCGCGATCGAATTTTGCCAGAACTTTGCATACGGCTCAATTCAGGAACAAAAATCTAGCTCTGAGGCTCTTAGAGAAGAATCTATTCCTAATCTAAATGAAAAACGAAAACGACAGCAGAGTTCAGGGAATTCGATATGCTGCAGTATGGCAGAGGCACATTTTTCCATGAGGTGGTTGCTGCTGTGCTTGTCACCAGGATGGAGTCAACCTGCGCCTATGTACTTGGAAGTGTTGCAGTCTGTAACAGCGGGGGTCCTCTATCTCGTTCTAATCAAGCAATCGATTTTAAAGTGGGCATACTTCTACGGCTCGCGTCAGAAGCGCAAAACTAGAATATTGCAACATTTGAGCTGAAGGTTCCTAAAATCGACAAGAGCAACGCAAACTGTTACTATTTTTTTACAGTCGAATTTAGCGATTTTCATGCCACACCTCTCAATGACCTTTAATTTCCCCTAATTAGGCTAGACGGGCTAGACACATGTTTGAAGTTCAATCGGTAATATTTTCTACGTTACTACGCATTTGGAATAGATCAGCACTCAAGTCTAATTTTTCTAACTAGAACCGGAATTCTGCGGGCATAACTGAAATGCTACACTATTGTTTCAAGGTGGTCAATAAATGTGTATTGTTGGTTGCAATATCGTTTTTGAACCCACACGGCAAAAACAATGTCTGTTTAGTTGTTGTTTTTTTGAGGCAAAAGGGAAAGCTTTAAGAAACTCACATACAGGAGAACTCAGCCAAATAATCAGACATTGTTTTTATTACCGTGTACAGAAGTCCGATGCAGTGCTCGTTGCAATAATTTTATCCATGACAGATTGTGGTCTTCTCCCTGAAGGACGGGAATACTGATAATAGCGGAAGGGTGCAATCCTTTGCCTTCGACATTTTAGTGAGTCTCTATCTGACCGTGAGTACATCCATCACAAAATGTTCATATCTAACCGTTGAAGGTGATAGAGAGTTCTGTGACATAACGTAATTTGCGATGTTCCACGGCGTCACCGCGACAGGCTACGTACGAGCCGCCACGCGCCAGCAATCCACCGGCAAGTCGCGGCCCAATTACGCGGAATGGCCTCCGACGTAAACTTTCCTCTCCCCCCTGTTGCTGCCAATAAAGCGCGAAGGCCCCCTCCTCCTAACTGTCCCCCTTCCACCTGTCACACTTTCACCCCTTCACCCCGGCCTTTCCCCTAACCAACCCCTCATGATGAGCTCACACACGGCCCCTTAGGGACTCTTTTACAACAGGCAGCCTTCCACCTCACCCAACCCCTCCCGCCGCCCCGTCTGCCCGAGCCTTCTGAAAACAATGTAGGTAAATGAAAAGAGAGTTTCGCGGTCCTCTGCCGCACTCTGCTGGCTAGGTACTCAACCCGTAGTGACGACGTACGAGTACTTTGAGGGCTTGCCTACCTTGGAAACCCACAACGGCAACGGTCGGAGGAAGGGTTTGTTGGAAATATTCCAGCAGAACATGCGCATAGTCCCTGTGCTGTAAGGTAGACCTCTTTGGAGGGTTCGCCATAGAGAAAAGGGAAGGGTGTGGGGAGGTGAAAGGCAGTGAGGGCATATGGGCCGCCTCATGAGAGCCATGAAGAAAGCTGAAGGGGTTGCACGGGGCTCCTGGAGGGGCGTCCCGGGCCCGTAAGGCGGAGTGATGAACCTGCATGGCTCAAGGATTGCCAGCTTATAGCACCAGGCCCGGGCGGCCTGAGCTGCGAGGTCCTGAAGGCTGGAGCTGGGGCTGCGGCCAGAACGCCAAGCCTGTGAAGCGGAAATTTGCAGATAGGGGATGGAGGGGCAGGGGGGCGAACGCGAAGAGGGGGCGGGGGTGCGCAGACTGAGGCCTTATTATGGGGCAGGCCGAGAGGGGCAGCATGGCCCCTGGAGGGCTCAGGGCAGTCGCTCCTGGGGTTTGGGTGCGCGTCGCGTCGAGATACTCCCTTACTCCCCACCCCAGATAACAAACGTACAGGTGCTAAGGTCGGTCACCCGGACCCTAATCACTGCCGAAACCTGCCGACCATATCCCTTCCCCTTTCTGCTGTTTTCGACTCGCCACATTGTGGCAACTCGACACATGACAAGCCTCGACAAGCATTACTGCGCTGGATAAGAATATACCAACTAATGGAAAGAGCAGTATAGATTATTAGGTAGAACGTTAAAGCGTTGCTAACAACTTCAGTATCACTTTCGTATCGCACGCCACAGTTTATAATTAGGTATATGCCAGAACACGTTTTGCGTAACAGGAATTGCGATATCTCGTAAAATCACGCTCATCGCAACGCGAACGATTATATACAGTATTGGATTCGACGTCGATTCCATCGATTTTTACTGAATTAGGCATCGCTATATGGTCGAGAGTTTGTGAAATTTTGTTTGATTTCGAGTCAAGTCGGGATCGATTCGAAGCGTGAATAAGTATAAAACCGTCGATGTTTTAGCGATGTGGCGTAACCTACTTTCAAATCGAATGCGAATCAAATAAATAATTCTAGATGGGGCTGAGCGACGCGACAGCGTACACGTACATGTACATATTCACTGGAAATCTGAGGTGTTCCGTTCTACCTTTACTATAGAATGTCTACTATTCATGTCCGAGAACAATATTGTAACTTGGACGGGACTTCTGCATAGCTGAGATCAGATTCAATATTGTAACAAGCTAGTTACAAAATGTGTATTGTGAGTAAAATATTGTTTCTTAACTCAGTTGTGCACACAATAGTTCAGGCCGAGGGGGAAACGACTGTTAAACTTTGTGTCAGCCGGATTACCTTAGTCGTTTCCCCCTCGGTTCAGGCACTGTTGAAAATTAGTACAGTAAATCACTAGGGAAAGGTCTGTTAATCTTTGAAACAGTTTGATACTGTAGAGTTGACTGTACCTTACCTTAAACTGGGGGAAAGTTCTTATCGAGCACGGTCACATCTTTGTCCCTCAAATAACCAGTCGAACAGAGACATTAGTAGGAAAGTACATTACGATCTGTATGGATTCTGTTTCTGGGCACAGAATTTTTAACAGTGGTGCTTTTTTCAATAATTTTCGAAAGGCCCTTAAAATTTAGTAGCTGTGCGACATTAATCATCACAGTTGCAAGTTAGCACACACATATTCGCGACAAAAATAATCGACCCAAATGCAAACAGAAAGGAAACAAAAGGTTTGGACTTAAAGGATACGCTTCTCAGGCAACTAATTTGACACTTACAATCTCATTTTACAGATGTAGTACTCTATTTATTTAGTAAGTACCCGTTTCACAAAACGTGCTAGCTGATGTCAAAAATTGCTCCCATTTCACAACGTTATGCTGTCTTTTGGCTTGTCACCTCCTCGACTTTTCTTTTCTTTCCCTCACCTTGATGGGTGTAGTGACGTACTGGGCGTGCGTGCGGGCGCGGCGTAGCGCGGCGTATTCGATTGGCAGCGCCGCCACCCCTCCCGACTCCGCCCCGCCTCGCAGCGCCCCACCGGAGCTGCTAGAAAGGCTATCGCATCACAGCGGCCAGAATTTCCAAGAGGGCTTTCCTCAAAGGACGACTAGTTCAGACGACGGGAAAGAGAAAGGGGTGAGCAGGGGAGACGTTGACTAAGGGAGGGAGAGAGAGAGGGCAAAAAGGCGCGGGTAGCTGGCCAAGCATCGAGCCGTGCTGAGGAGGGGAGGGTGAGTCCCTCCCGTCCCAGCACCGGCGGTCTCTTTGAGCAGACGTCCCCATACGTCTCCACACATCCGAACGTCTCAGCGAATTTCCGCCCCGTATATCGACTTTGCGGTAAGGCGGCGCACGCTGCACGCAGCGGCGCTCGCAGAAACGCATGGACTCGGGAAAAGGAAATCGCCAAACCCCCATGGTATACCACCCGAACCCAACGCGTGGTGGGGACGGCGTTTGGGGACGCGGGTAGACTGGCCATTCTCCCGCCGCGTCTCCACTTTCAGCAACGTCCCTTTCTTCTCCACCTCTTCTGCTCTACGGGGTGAGATAAGGAGAAGAAATAAAAAAAAAGCCATCTGTGTTCTTTGAACTTTAAGGGACACACAGCAGTTATTTTACTTTTACTGTAAAGTCCCCCTCCCCCCCCCTCCCTTTCTGTGTACGTTTTTGTTTGAATAAGAGTTGTTTGAATATGGCCGCTTTCGTCTCTGGCCGAAGACTGCACAGCTCCAAGTATGAACCCGATTTGTCACAGTGTCGTTCTGATGCACGTCAATGTATGCGCCCCTCGGCGACGTATGTGCGTGTGTGCCCCTCCCCCTCCCGCCACGCCACGACGCGCCTTAGGGCTCCGCGCCGACGACTCGCCCCGCCATGCTCCCTGATCACCTCAATTCTTCGGGAGCACGGCCCCTCTCGCCCCTCCCGCCCCGCCCCTGCACACATAAGCAACCCCACATGCACGCGATCCGTCCGTCCGCCCTGACGGGTCTGACGGGCCAATCGAGTTCCCCGCTGCGATGCACCCGACGTATCGCTCCATCACTCCGCCGAATTTGTCCTGCGTAAAAAAACACAACTACGTGCGACCAAGAGTGACGAAAAAATGGATTTGTTTCTCTGCACTCGCTGCAATGTTGTACAATGCCTACTCGATGGGGATGCAGGGGCAGCAGGGGCCATGGCAAGGTATGGCGCCTGTCTAGCAGGAGGAAAGCGCAGCAGGCAAACTGCTGCAACATCCACAGGGATCCAAAGGGGTGAAACAACAAAGGACACAGTATTTTATTAACAAATGTCCATAACACAGAAAGTCTAAAATAATATCCAATGCTTCAAGTTACTGACAGTGACGATCAATAATTATTACGATAATCAGGATTTGTTCTCCATTTTGATAGTGCTTTAAAATTTTATGTCAGCCATCTTCAACAACTTGTTTAAACTGGTCCCAATCACAATGCCACTGTGGACTGACCTCTTCTTAAACGCTACGTATTTTCTTGTTTCCAGGCTGGTGTCCTCTGAAGTTGCCATAGCTACGACTAGTTTAGTGCCGGGCCGTGCCCACCACCTCTTGCTTTCCACCCTAGCTGAGCTCGGAGTATTCAAGTGGGAAGCAGTGGATCATTACTCGTCATATTACTATAATGAAGTTTTGGCCAAAGGACTCTCACCCCACCCAATTCAGCGTTTGGTGCTCAAACCCTCTTTGCTAAAAAACAAAAGAAAGAAATGGTAAGTACGAAAACGAATATGAACTGACCAGAATGTTACTGCTCTGTAATGAGAACTTTTCATTTTCAGTTGGCACAAACGAAACTGTTACTGGACAATTTTTTTGGATTTTACTTACTGTTTACAAAATTCGGAGTATTTGTATTCTATTTGTATTCTCAACATTGTATTTTGAGGGAGTTTTGGAACAAAGTTGTGCAAAAATAAAAAGTTTCGAATAAAATTTTACTAATAATTCGAATTCTCGGTGTCAAAGAATGGTGTTCAAAATTTTTAAACTGTGTTTGAACTGGCTCGTTCTGGGCTTTCCTGTCACTTATTTAAGTACCCTCTCATATTCTACTCGAATGACAACTCATAATGCACCACACTTTATTTTTTCGTCGGAGCTTTCGTATCAGATATTGGTTTTGCATTTTTATGAAAATATAAAAAATGTAATTTCGGTCTGTTGTTGCATCAATAACCCAGTTGTCAATACAATAAGATAAATAAATTCAACCACTAGCTGAATCAAAACACGTAGAGCACGTGTTGAAGAGGTATGAGACAAATTTCAGCGGGATATATATATGAAGGGGGTTTGAGAAGCGAGCCCGCTACGCTATACGCTACGCTCACTGCGTCCCGGATCAATCCCTCCTCCTTTTTCCCGTTACCGAGTTGCTTACGCTCCGGTGGCCCGTCCTCGTAGGGGCGCGCGCAGACACAGCTAGAAGCAGCGAGGGAAGAGCAGGAGAGCGGGAGGAAG